CAAGGTAGTGCCTGTCCTCCCCCCCCCCCCAGTCTCTACAGACGAGCTGAGGAAGAAGCCCACAAGTCTCCTGTCACAGATGTCCAGTTTTTGTGCCCTCAAAAGATACTGAACTTCCCACAGGCCTCCCATAGTACCGAACTCTGGGCAGCTGACGGAACCAGGCAGCTGACGGAACCAGGCAGTAGAGTCTTGAAAGAATGGGTCTGTCACCGGGACCAGGCCGGTGTGGCCTCAGCCTGAGGCCAGGCTCATGCTATCTGGCCAGACTCAGAGCCTCTGGGGACAGTGGGCACTTTACCTACACTCCACAGCTCTAAGCAGAAGAGGAGGTGGCCTGTTTTTCTAAGAAACATGGCATATGGACTCTATAGTCAATCTCACATTTGAAAATGAAAAATTAATAGTGTCTATTTCTTCTCCATCACCACGCACAGCAATCTACTGAAATGTTCTCCGAGCAGAGAAAATTGCCAAGTCGACTTCCAAAGGAAATGAAACCCCACTTCACGACGCACGATAAATTAGGCAGTTGTGTTTAACTAAACCCTGACAGATGCGCAGGTCATCTGTATCCTTACAAGATAGTGAATTTCTCTCCCATGGTACCCAGGCCCTGAATGGCTGGCGAGTGGCCTCAAGAGAGCGGATCTGTTGCTCAGGGTGAAGTCTACTCGCAGGATGCTGCTGGCGTGGGGGGACAGAGGGGAAGGCCAGGATGGCGAGAGGAGCCGCTGGGTTGCCGGGCCCCGGTCGCTGGAGGTGTCCTCACCGAATGGCCTTAGGAGGAGAAAACCAGGCACAGTCTGCCTGGAGCTAGGTACATCCCGGAGCAAAAAAGAATCAAAGGCGACAGCCCGCAGAGAGCTGTTTGTTCAGATTTGGTATTCTGGCCACAACAGACAGTCCCGTCACGGTAGAAAATGCTTGTATTTCAAGGTGCCTGTCGTTGCCCCAGATAAAGGTATGGAGTGAGAATTAATGCCTTCAGAAATGGGGGACCCAGCGGGTACCTCTCACACAGTTCCTCCCGGGGAAGGTGATTTTCGTGGGGAGAAACCGCATATTCCTGCTTTCCTGCATCTGCCTGAGGTGGGCTGGGCCTCTCCTGGTGAGAAAAGTGGGACACACACACCCCCGAAGCAGACTTCAGAGGAGGAGACTGAGCTCTCTGGGGAGACGCCAGGACCAGTATCCCTTGACACACCTTTACCTGCCAGGTGCCTGAGTGTCAGTGAGTCCCTGTTGGTCCCTCCTGTTCCACCCTGTCCCCTGCCCTCCACTTGGGCTGGAGACGGTCCTGGGTTCCCAAAGAAAGCCCCTGCTTCTTGCTCTCTGCAGACAGCCATCGC